CCTCCTTTATTTATATAGCTTAAAGAGCTGCTCTCCTAATCTAATTAGGAGTTTCCTAATCCAAATCTTTATTTGGATTTGGACTCTTTAAGTGGATAAGATTTATCCTCTTATCCTTATCTACTGATCCAAACCCATATCCATACCCAAATTCGCCCATGTTGATTAATCCAATTAATCTTTGGGCTTTAAGCCTATTAAGGAGGTGTCTCACGTCCCTTATTAATTGCTGGCTAACTTGTCGCTCTTTGTATGGTGTGGGACCCTAACATTGATCTCACAAAAGCCATATGGGTTCAGCCTAGCATCTGTGACAAAGCCTGGCTGAATTCACTCCTAAACACAGTGAACCCTTGAGTCCATCAGTATGGGTTCTTAATGGGCCCAACATTTACACTAAATAGTCATCGAGTCCAGCCATCTTATGAAGGCCCAGGGACAATGGTCTTAAGTGAGATTAGCCCATTAGGTATAAAACCCTTAAATGGTCTTACACTTAACCTCTCATCCCTTATTGATTGAACACTGCCCAACAAGAGAGGACATCTCCCTCGGTTGTAAGGTATAGTATTGCACTCTCTGCTCGGATGGATCCCAGGAATTAAAACCTTTTGCAAACATTTTTCATAAAACATAATATATATACATATATATATATATATATATATATATATATTCATATAAATATATTTTGCAAAACAAATCTCAAACACTATTGAAATCGACTGCCGACAGTTTTAGTTTCCATCAAAGAGAGTGCAGTCCGCGGTCATTTACTTTGTTCGACAAAGAGGCTGATCCTGTTACTATGATCACCCGCTCGAGTGAATTCTCAGACTACCCCAACATACCCAAGTTTTGACCCCTGAAGGATCTTACTGATTGGCATATCAAAGACAGCCTAATCCGACACCTAGTGCAGTACCATAATCGAGTATAGGGGTTAGGTGTAACATTCTAGTTTTTTCCACCAGTCTCCAAGGTCTAGGGCATAACTTGAAAATGGTTTGGGTTCATTGTTTCAAGCAATCACACACTACATGTGCTTTGGGTCTAACCTTGGCAACTGAGACAAACTACCCCAACCAACTTGGCATCACATTAGTGTCAACCTTTGCAAGATAAACCTCCCCAGGTCTATCCAACGGTTGTGAACATTCTAAACTAACATGAGTCTCATAAGTGTCCAGTTTAAGGGTAATTACATAGAAACACACCAATTATAACATGAATCAATTATGTACTTTTATTCATTTACAATAAATGTCTAGTGTACATCAATCTGATTGGAGCTAAGGGCATACACTGTCTAACACTAAACACCTTGCCCAGTCTGCATCTGTATAGGATTCCAGCTTTAGATTTTCATGGTTTGAAAAATGAATGCCTCTGTCGGGATTCAATGTTAGGCCCTTTCATGAGGAAGGTAACTACTCCCTCGGGGTTAGATCCATTGTCCATACTACACTCAACCCAATTTTCTGTCATGGTGGTTTTTCGGTCACCTTTTACTAGTGAGAGCACAAAATTAATCATTCATCCGACAACTTGGCATCTAAACTCTTTCTCAGTATCTTGATCTCCCACTTTAGATGAGGGACGATCATCCTCGCGGACCTTCTCCTTCATAACATTAGAGTAAGCCACCCCATTGAAGTCCAACAACCTTCGTATGCTCCTTGTTTGGACGGTTCTTTCCTTTGGTTTCACTCTTCTCCTTTCCAGTGAATTTGAATTCATTTAGAGCTATAGAAGCTCTCATCCAGTGCCCGAAAATGCCTCTTCCACTCTCATCTTTCATTGTTTGGCTTGCTAGAGTGGCGGCAAGTTCCTCCTACACTTGGGCTTCTGAAACTCTTAAGCACTTTGATTCCTCGTGCCCAAAAAGCCCACACTTGTAGCATAACAGAGGTAACCGTTCATATTGATATGGGAACCAGAGAGATTTTCCTGTAAGTGTCACTGAAAGGAAGGGAGATCCATCATATGGATGGTCGAACCATGTAGGGTGGTTGAGAGAAATTTCAAAAAATTTCTTTCACCCTTCCGGGAATCGTATTCCCTGTTTTAGAAAAACTGAAATTTTCAAGGTTCGTTCTTAAAACAAACTGGACTAGATCTGTAACCAAAATAAAGGAAAGGATATACCTGATACAGAATCCACAAACATAGCTCCCAACCGTAGGTGTTCACGCCCAAAGAGATCACCAAATCTTGCCTCCACTGGACATGTCACAACTTGAGGTGAAGGAGGATCAGCAAAGTAGTTCTTCAACAAGAACTACAATCCTTCAGCAAAGGATCATGTAGGGGAAGTGAACACAACTTCAGATATGATTTTTTTAGCATAAATTAGAACCAAGATTGAATCTTGATCAGTCGAAGACTTTGGAGATCGAACAGGGTAGGGTGACAAGAACAGAGAAAAGAACTGATTCAGCAAAAGTGTTTAATAGAAGGAATTTTCCCTCCATTTATAACCTTTCAGGATCAACTTCCTAATCCTATTAGAAAAGAGTTCTTTGATCCAAATCTTTATTTGGATCTAAACTCTTAAGTGGATCATACTTATCTTATCCTCTTGTTGATCCATATCCAGATCTAAACCCAGATTCGCCCATATTATTTAATCTCATTAACCCGGTTCGAAATGGGCTTTAGGTCCATTAAGCTATCAGGTTCACTTCCCTTTTAATTTGCTGGCTAGCTTGGCTCTCTTTGTAGGGCGTGGGACCCTAACATTGATCTCCACAAAAGCCATATGGGTTCAGCCTAGCCTTTATTACAAGGTCTAGCCAAATTCATTGTTGAACACAGTGAACCCCTGAGCCCATCAGTATGGGCTTTTAGTAGGCCCAACATTTACACTAAATGGTCCTTGGGTCTAGTCACCTTATGAAGGCCCAAGGACTATGGACTTAAGTAAGATTAGCCCATCAGGTAAAAGCCCTAAATGGTCTTACACTTAACCTCTCGACCCATAATGATCAAACACTGCCTGACAAGAGAGGACCTCTCCCTCAGTTGCAAGGTGCAGTGTTGCACTCTCTACTCATGATGGATCTTGGGAATTAAAACCTTTTGCAAACATTTTTCATAAAACATAATATATATATATATATATATATATATATATATGTATGTATGTATGTATGCATGTATATGTATATATATTGCAAAACAATCTCAAACTAGTTTAAAATCCACTACCGACAGTTTAGGTTTCCATCAGAGAGAGTGTTGTCCTCGATCATTCTCTTTGTTCGACAAAGGGGCTGATTTTGTCACTATGATCACCCACTTAGGTGAATTCTTAGACTGCTCCAACATACCTAGGTTTTGACCCCTGCTAAGGACTTCACTGATTGGCATATCAAAGATAGCCCAATCCAACACCTAGTGTTGTATCATAATCGAGGCTAGGGGTTAGGTGTAACTTTCCAGTTTTTCCCATCTGTCTCCAAGGTCCAGGGTACAACTGGAAACTGGTCCGGTTCAGAGTTTTAAACAAACCCACACTACATGCGTTTCGGGTCTAACCCTGGTAGCTAAGACAAGCCACCCCAACCGGCTTGACAACACATTAGTGTTAGCATTGGTAGGATAAACCTCCAATGACTATGAACATTCTAAACTAACACGAGTCTCATAAGTGTCTAGTTTAAGGGTATTGCATAGAAACACACCAGATATAACATGAATCAATTATGTACTTTTATTCATTTACAATAAATGCCAAATGTACATCAATTTGATTGGAGCTAAGGGCATACACTGTCTAATAGTCACCTCTTTGATACCCACTGCTATTGCTCTAGAGGTTTCAATCCTCACCCTCATCCTTAGAAAACGACCCTAGCAATGTAGGTCCTCTTCTTTCTCTACATCCCTAGTCAAAACTTGCTCAATAATCTTAGCCTCCTTGGCCAATCTTCTTGTCCATGTAGTAGTCATCATCTCCACCGGGACGTCTAAGACTCGGACTGTAATGACCATGTCTGAAAAAACCAACTCACGAGGAACAACGTTCGGCTCCCACCTCCTAAATAGCAGAGGATAGTCTTTTACCATCCACGTTTCTTTATCAAGCACCCATTCAAGATCCGCAGCTTTCCTAAAGGAAATCCACATCACATCCCCCATCAGTCATTCAACTTCATACTTCATCGTTCTACTCCACAGATTTCAGACCGCATCTAAAGTGCCTTTTGCATTGAGTTGTTTATCTGCAATCACCTTGCCAAAGAGACATCGGTCGAAAATATTTTGCCAAGTTTCTCCGTAACACTCCATGATGATTGATTTCAGAGAGCATACCTACAAGCTCCGAGCTTCTTGGACACTCCACTCTTCACTCTACGCCGAGAGCACTCACTTCTTGTTTGGAAAGGTAGGAAAACGTGGTGAACTTCTCCTAAGAATATAAAGTTAACAGTCAAAAAATTACAAGAATACTTTATATTTATACAAGGTATCATGACCCATCGGGATGGGTCAGCCAAAACCCAAATCCAATTCGAGCTCAAGAATCAAAACCCTAATTTGACCCTAACTGACCGTTAGGTAAAACCAGATTTACCATTTAACCCGATCCATTAACATCCATATCAGATATATCATCGAAAGTGTTTGTCACGTGGCTATATTAACGAAGTTAATATCTCCGAAGGGATCCAAGAAAGTAGAAAGAGAGGACTGATGTGGATTGGGTGAATGAGGACATGGTCAATTCGTAGCGGTCTTTTACTCGAGACAGTTATTTCATATTTGAACGGCCCCATCAAGTGTCCACGTGGCAAGTAGGTAGGACAAGAGGCCCGGTGAAGGACGAATTTATGTAGCACTTGGGAATATCGGGATACCTCATAGGCTCATACCCCAGTCATCCCTATCCTGTCTGTAGGGCGATGTATCTAAGAGTTGCATACAGTCGTTGTATCAAATCTAAAATGCCAAGTAGTGATTGATGCTCGAGGACCATCCAAGCATTCCTCAGTCGCGCTCTAGAAGTTTCCGTAAAGCCCTAAAATTACATGAAACAAAAACGTAAACTGGTTACAGCTTCAGCCTTCAGACGGAGTTTTTCGTATTCTTACTCTGTTATACAACGCTGCTAACGATTTTAGCTGGAAACTGAAGAATTGCCAATGGCGGAAGAATTGGCGCTGGATTTGGAGGAGCTTCGCCAGCTTCAAAGCATTGCAAAAAGGCCTCGGATTGTCTCCCTCCTCTCCTCCGAGATCCACAACTTGGAGAAGGTCTTTCCATTTCCTTTCTTTTCCATCGTACTTCGACTGTGGGTGTTTAGCAAAGTTGGTTCTGTTTGAAATGTTTGTTTCTCTGTTGATTGATAAGCTTTTGACGTTACCCTGTTAATGAATGCATGCATCTTCTTTCTTGTTTTTGCAATGTTGGAAATGGATTCTGAAAGCATGGATAGGGGATTTATTCCATCGTACTTCGACTGTGGGTGTTTAGCAAAGTTGGTTCTGTTTGAAATGTTTGTTTTTCTGTTGATTGATAAGCTTTTGACGTTACCCTGTTAATGAATGCATGCATCTTCTTTCTTGTTTTTGCAATGTTGGAAATGGATTCTGAAAGCATGGATAGGGGATTTATTTAATCGTAGTTGAGTTGATACATACTCTAAGTGTTGGTTTTTGGGAAGTAGGTTCGTTTCGGGTTGATTTTCCATTTAGTTAGCCAATTTGGGTTGGAACTGCTTAACGTGTAGAGCTTGTACTCTCTGTAGGAAATCTGTACGGGAGTTCGAAAGGGGAATGGGGAGTGAGGGTTTCTCTAGATAGCACTCTCAGAGGAAAACCTCATTATAATGAGCTTTCCTTATTAATGTTAGTACTTAATTAAGAATATTGGAAATTAGGAAGCGGGATTCCCTTGTGTTCTATTCTGTTCTTGCTCATGTCCATAGGAAATTAGGAAGGCATAATAGATTGGATTTGATGGTTGGAAGAAAACATTGATGATTAACAATTTCAGAAACTGAATTTGCATGCAATTGTTGCAGACGATGCAGCATAGGAGTTATCTACATTGTATATTTGTTCACGGTTGATGGTCTATTAGCATAATGCTCACTGGAACTTGACCTTTCTGATTGCTAGCTTCAGCATGTATAGTTGCGTTTTAAGTGATGTCTGTATCTTCTAGTGTAGGTGTACGAGCATAGATTTGCAAACCGCCACAGACCTGGTTTAATCCATCCTAAGTCCATCCAGTCCAGTCTGGTCCAATTCTTAACTCAAGGTACGGAGTGCAGCCCCTCCCGTTGTCTGGCTACTTTCCATTCTCCCCAACGCCCAACCCATTTTTCTCTGCAGACCTTCAAAGCCAACAGTCTTTGCCAAGTCTATGGGCCTACAGTAGTTTCTCCCCACAATTGGTATATGTCTGTTATAAATCTATTCGAATCAAAAGCCATTTGGATAACCTACTACCCCTGCTTTTGTCCTTTCTCGGAGTATGGTTTGTATTGTTTATGATAAACTAATTATTCTTTTATTTGTTGTCAACAGCCTTCAAATACATGTACATGAAATCTGATTGCAAGTAGGGCATTCAAAGTTGATTTGTTAGCATTCAGATTCAAATAGAATCTTATGTGTCTGTTTTAGATTGAACTCAGATCAAACATGGATATTGAATACTGTTTGTAAATTAAGCTAAGAAACGATTAGAATGTTACATGCTATTATAGCTTGATCTCATATTGTTGGGACGAGGCTTAGATGATGATGATGTTATATAGTACTATGAATGGGAAATGAATTTGGTATTGTATATCATGAATAAAATAACTTGTAAACAACTTATTCTTTTGCAATCATACAACATTAGAATTTAGAACCAACTTTACTAATAAATACATATTAGTTTTATGTAGATTTAGGCATATCATAGCAGATAGGATTGGGGTAGATCTATACTCAATTCAATTATAAATAGATTGGATTCAGATTACCTTAATCGGATAGGACTTAAATTTGGAGAAATGGACAACCTCTGTGGCCATTCTGCAATATTTTCAGCTAACTTGATATAGTGTGAAACATTGGATATCTTAGCTTGGTTATGCTATTCTAACTTTTCGAATTAAATTTTCTGTTTAGGGTGGAATCTGTGTTTTGCATAAATACTGAATCTTACTTGATACACTTTGCAGTTATCTAAAGATGCTGCTTCAGAAGCTAGTGCCCAGACTCCAGCACCGGCCATGAAGATGCCAGCAACCACTCCATTGAACTATGTTACACTTAGTTCATTCAGCTGGGATCAAGACAGTGACAAAATCAAGGTATGGGAATAAAACAGAAAACAGTTTAATGTTATACATGCTGAAGGGAAAATATTAGAAAATAATTCATTTGGAGGTGTTTTTCTTAATGCTTGATTGAATAAGTGTAGTGATGTATAGATGGACAGGACGTTCAACAACTAGATTATCCACAAGAGTATTTTCTTTTGTACAATTGCTTGGTTATATACTTGTATGCCCCCCTCCCCCCATTTTTTACTTTTTTCTTTAACCTGTTTTGGACATGCTATGAAAGAACTTTGTCGTTCTGTATTTAGTCATCCTGACGATGTCTTTAGAAGTTTGAGGTTTGTTTAATTATGAACTATATATGTTCTTTCTTCAGATATATGCTTCTTTAGAGGGAGTTGAGCAAGAGAAGGTGGAGACTGTGTTCAAGCCAATGTCTGTTGATATAAAATTCCATGATGTCCAAGGGAAGAACTACCGATGTGCAATACCAAAATTGAACAAGGAGATTATTCCAGAAAAATCGAAGGTGGTTGTCAAGCCCACAAGGGTTATCATAACATTGGTTAAAGCTTCAAAAGGCAGCTGGTTGGATTTGTACTACAAGGAAGATAAGGTATGTATTGCATATTTCTTCTCTAAACTTTGCTAGTAGTGGTACCATAGAAGGAAGCTACTACAGTTAGACTATTTTGATGATTGTCTGAGATAATGAATGACAACTTCATGTCATGTTTTCTAATAGTTGAAGCCAAACCTCGACAATGATCGTGACCCCATGGCGGGAATAATGGACTTAATGAAGGTAAGTTTTCTATCTGTTGCTTGCTTGTTTCAATGGTGTTTATGATGTTTGACGTGGGCCTGAATCCTGTGAGAATACATTATAGTTACAATGGTGTGATGTGCATTTGGCAGAACATGTACAAGGAAGGGGATGATGAAATGAAGCGAACAATTGCAAAAGCATGGACTGATGCAAGGTCTGGGAAAGTAGCTGACCCAATGAAGGGGTACCGCTGAATTAAAGGGCAAAACAGTATGAGAAAAAAGGAATTATTGAAGCGTAATTTCCCACAGTTAATTGTATTCTTCCTTTAGTATGAGGTATCCACTAGAGGGTCTCTGTCTTTTGAAAAGGAGAACATGGTTAAATATCAATCAGTCTTAACTGCATCTTGAATTCCAGGTGCGATGGGTCACTCGATTTTTCACTTCTTGACTTTCTTTTGCATCACAATTATTAGCCGACTCAACTCAGGCTGCGTTTGGTAGAGGTGTAAAATCGAACCGGGGTTTACATTTTACCAACTAATTACATCGGTAATCGATGTAATAATTACATTGAAATTATTTATGCATTTATTATATCGCGCTCTCTCTCCTCTTCTTCTCCTTGCTCGCTTGTTCTCTCTCTCCCTTTCTCTTCTCCTCTTTTCTTCGTCCTCCCTTTTTCTCTCTTTCCATCACCGCCGCGGCAGATCTGAACCCACCTCCGCCTCTTGCTTTCTCGCTCTCTCTCTCTCTCTCTCTCTCGCCACTGCTAACTGACGCTCCTCTCCTTCTGACGGAGTTCTTCCTCGCCCTTTCGGTGCCTCTTCCACTATCAACCAAACCTCCTTCCACACCGTCGATTCGTCTCCGGTCAGTTTCTACGTCTTTTCTTTGAATACATATCATGGAAACCAATTCTTGTTCGAAATTGTATTCTTCATTCTTTTAGTTTTAGCGATTAAAAGCGAGTGAATTGAAGGTTCGTGAAGTATAATCGATCATTTTATCACTTTTGCTGATTTCTTTAGTTGTCATTTTGGCTTGACCTCGACGTTGGGGTGGGCGGTTAGGAACTGCTCTTACTCTGTTTACTGGGCTGTTAGTAAAATTCCTTACTCAAGGACAGAGAATCAGGAGTATCTCGCGTCTGTTCGCAGAATCCTGTTCCGCAGATTTGCTTCCGTTTTGTTGTGCATTTCTCGCCGGCTGAAAATACGAGAGAGTGACTGATCGGTGAAGAATATTATGTACAGTTGTAATAATCAGTTGTCCTAGTCAGCACTTTCTTGTTTTCTTGTTAGTTAGTCGGTTATCCTGCATCTATTTATAGCTGTACTGTGGAGCTAATTAATCAAGAAACACAGACGCAGTTTCTTTTTTTCTTGGTGTTCATCTGCATCCGTTTTGTTTTGATCTTGTTCTTGAATATTTTTTTCTATTTCTGATCATGGTATCAGAGCTCCAGTTCTGAATCTTGTGCGCTACGCTGAAGTAATCTGTATTTGAAGTTTTCTCTTGATTTGAGAGTATCATCTCTGCAAAGATGACTGACGGAAGCGCGAGTACAAGAGATGGAAACAGGCTTCGAACAATCGTTCGGTGAAGACGTTAATGCAGTTGCACTCGTCCGATCATCCTGGTATAAGTCTCGTAACTAATTCACTTAACATGAACAATTACATGATTTGGAGTAGGTCTATGAGAATTGCTTTAAGGGCCAAGAAAAAATTAGGCTTTATAGAAGGTACTTGTGAGGAACCTGATCCTACATCAGCTGAATATGAAGAATGGAGTCATGTAGATTCTATGGTGATTTCATGGATATTGAACTCGATGTCAAAGGAGATGACAGAGGCATTTGTGTACACTCCTACTGCTAGGGCATTATGGTTAGAATTGGAAGAGAAATTTGGCCAAAGTAATGGATCGCAATTGTATCAACTCAAGAGACAAATAACTTCAATAGAGTAAGGTAACAATACTGTTGCTGTGTATTCAAACAATTTAAAAAAACTATGGGATGAACTCAATTGTTTGGTCACAGTTCGAATTGTTTTGGCTTTGGCCGCAGTTAATCAATGGCCTTTGAATCAATTGGATATCAACAATGCATTTTTACATGGTTATCTCAATGAAGATGTGTATATGTCTTCCCCACCTGGATATCTTAAGGCTGCAGTAGGTCAAGTGCGCAAATTAAAACGATCTTTATATGGCTTGAAACAAGCCTCTTGATAGTGGAATTTTGAGCTCACATCTAAGCTTCTACAGGTTGGTTTTCGGCAATCCGCACATGACCACTGCTTGTTTGTTAAGAAGTCAGATTCTGAGTTCATTATTTTGTTAGTTTACATGGATGATATTCTTGTCACTAGCAGTTCCTAGAGTGGTATTACTTTTGTGAAACAGTTTCTGCACAATGAATTTACGATTAAAGATATTGGTCCTGCGAAATATTTTTTAGGTTTTGAAATATGTCGATCACGACGAGGAACATATGTGAATCAACGCAAGTATACTCTTGACTTGCTTACTGATATAGGGATGATTGGTGCTAAACCCGCAAGTACTCTATTGCCGAAAACACAACAGCAGGATACTCCATTTGCAGAACCTGATAAATTTCGCAGATTGATTAGGAGATTACTGTATTTGGGTTTCACACGACCGGATATCACTTATGCAACACAACAACTCAGTCAATTTGTACAGAACCCGTGTGATTCTCACTGGAAAGCTGCTTTACATATACTAAAATATTTGAAAGGTTTTCCTTCCAAGGGTCTCTTTTTCCCCGCTGGTAACACACTTAAGTTGGAAGGCTATTGTGATGTTGATTGGGCATCTTGTGTTGATACTCGCCGGTCCTTAACAGGATATTGTATCTTCTTAGGTCCTTAATATCTTGGAAGACTAAGAAGCAAGCCACGGTGTCCCGTTCCTCCACCGAGGCTGAATATCGCAACTTAGCATCTACCGTTTGTGAACTTCAATGGATCCATTACATCCTCCGTGATCTTTGTATACCTGTTCAGTTGCCCATCAGATTGTGGTGTGACAATTAGGCTGCTTTGCATATTGTTCCGAACCCTGTTTTCCATGAACGGACGAAGCATTTGGAGATTGATTGTCACCTCGTCCGTGAACAGTATAAGGATGGTTTTGTGCTTCCTTCGTATATTCCATCCAAGTTGCTACTTGCTGACTTTTTTACGAAGTGTTTAGCAGCTCCACAGTTTGCTCTTTTACTGTCCAAGTTGGGGCTTTTTGATCCTCATCAGCCTCCAACTTGAGGGGGGGATGAAGAATATTATGTAATATTATGTACAGTTGTAATAATCAGTTAGTTGTTGTCCTAGTCAGCACTTTCTTGTTTTCTTGTTAGTTAGTCGGTTATCCTGCATCTATTTATAGCTGTACTGTGGAGCTAATTAAGCAAGAAACACATATGATGTTTCTTTTTTTCTTGGTGCTCCTCTGCATCCGTTTTGCTTCGATCTTGTTCTTAAATATTTTCTTCTATTTCTGATCAATCGAAAACCGGTTCCATGTCAACTAGATCTAACAAGTCACAAGCTTTTCGTTTTTTGGGTGACAACAAAGCCACTGCTAACTCTAACGGCTAGGTAATAGTTGTTGGGTTTCGTCTCCAATGGAGGAGATCTCCAATAGTTGTTGGATTTCGTCTCCCTTTCTCTTCTTCCCTCTCTGATAAATCTCCTCAAAAAATAGGGTAACCTCTAACCAAACAGGATGAGTGTAAATGGGCACAATCACCGGTCCGTATTTTACACTCTCACCAAACTATCGTGTCTCAATTCCATCGGTATAAATGCACTTACACCAGAAACAAATGCAGCCTCAAAGAAGGGTGTTGGTCATTATTTTTCGATCCTGAAATAAGTTAAATTTGTATTTTAATTAGCAGCAGGTAGGAATCACGCATCTGATAATACTGTTGTATTCCTCTTTCAGACATGTGGCATCCTATTAATTTAAGTAGGATTCAAAAAGTGTGGTTTTTACATCTTAACACTGTCAATAAATAGTTATTTATTAGCTTAATACATGTTTATCTATAAAATTTAATTAAACACGTGGCATGTTAAAATTTAATTAAACAATATCCAGAAGTGGGTTCATCACACTTAAAAAATTGTCAAAATGATTATTTTCAGTTACAAACAAATTTGAATTAAGAACCAATATTCAGTAATTAAATATTGATTATTAATAAGAATATAAGAAAATAATCATCACCATTACTAATTAGAAATAATATTAATATTTAATTAAATAATTAAGTAAATATTACATTCTGATTATTCTTTAAATTTTTATGGTAAAGATTTTAATTGTAATAATTATTATGATAATGAAATCATTAATTAAATACTTAATAATAACAACAATAGTTAATTAATTATTACAATACAAATAATCTTTAAAAATAAAGAGATAATAATAAAAAGTTAGACATTTTTTGTTTATTTAAAATAAAATTATCAAAAAATATTAACCCTGTACTACCTCTAGTAATACTTTAAACGTAGACATCCATTCCACTCATCATATTCATATCCAACTTAAAAGTAATCTAATAAAATTGGAACTCTTTCACTAGTGTTAATAAACTGATGATTTAATGAAAGTGTTATTGATCAAAAAAAAAACTGTACAGCAGCGAACGCACAATGCCAGCATAGAGGGCGTAATATTCTCTTCCTCCCCGTTCTGAATTCTGTAATAGAAGGCGCTAGCTGGATCAGCCTATTACTGCCTCTATTCAAAATCCTAATTCTACATTATTAGCGGAGGGCCCCTGCTGCTCCGTAGGAACTATCATTCGATTATTTTAGTTATCCTGAATAAAAATATAAAATTGTGAATTTTATAATTTTAATTAATCTATAATGGTGTATAGGAATTGAAGGGAGAGTATAAAAGCGATTTATCAAATACTCCATTTAGCGTTAAGTAAATGTTGGAGAGAAGGTGATTTGTTGGAAGAGTAATAGTGATGGCAAAATAAGGGAAGTAATATATGACAGATAAGAAACAAAAGGAAAAGATTGTTGAATAAGTTATGTTATATTGAAAAGCATGAGTATCAATAGGTTATGTTAGAACCAAGATTGTTGAAGTGTATGTTTAGGAGCATGAGTGCATGACAGTACGAGGACCCTATGAGTTCATGTTGTAAAGAAAGCGGGTGCAAATCTTGTATAATATATGAATTTAATTGGCAACCATGCTTATTTCACTTCAGATGTGTGCATTTACACTTAGCAATAGAGAAGAAAAAAGAGTCTTGGGTACAATGTATAGATTTCTCCCTTGTCTATATTACAAAGAAACATACCTACTCACTTCATTGTTCTAGGCAATAAATGGGATGTATCATAAAAGATTATAAAAAATTATTAAATGTTATAGTAACCGCGAAATTAGTTGTTGTTACCTCTCTTCCCCTCACTGTTCTTTTGTCATTCCTTTCATATACTTTTTCACTTGTATCAACTGTTAAAGAGCATCAGAAGTAGGACGACAATCTTGCAAAAATGAATGGGAAGCTTAAATAAAAGAGGGGCGAA